GAAGTAGCATTAGGGGCAACTCTGTTACAAGAAGGTAAGCCTGTTACTTTTGCCTCGCGTTCGTTAACGACAACAGAGCGTCGTTACGCACAAATTGAAAAAGAAGGTGACCGTACATTTGAACCCAGGTACATTTGAACCCATGCGTATATCCACGGGTTCAATCTATATGCGGGTGCTAAAACCCATGGGTTAGGGTTAGTATGGGTTTGTCATGGGTTCAAATGTACGTGGGTTCAAATGTAATGGAACCGAAAAAGAATGTTTGGCAATTGTGTTTGGATGCGAACGATTTGATCTTTTCGGAAATCCTTGTTAGCAGCACCCAAACGATTAGAGCGAATGCTGCTTAGACTGCAAAAGCACAATTTCAAAATTTAGTACAAGCCTGGAAGAATAATGCATATAGCAGATACACTCTCTAGGTTGTGCACAAATGATAATTTACCACGACTCGCAAAAGACGGTTTTGAAATGAAATAAATTTTTTCAATTATACGACTAAAACAGATTCGTCTATGATTGCCTAAAAACATTCTGCAATTATAGGGATGAACTGGGCTACCAAAACAATGTTTTGTACAAAAGCCATAGAATAGTAATTCCTAAATAGTAATTCCTAAGACACCGAGGCCCGAAATGCTTAAACGCATTCATGAATGTCACATGGGTATTGAATCATGCTTGACAAAGGCCCGAGATACAGTATTTTGGCCTCGAATGAGCCAAGAAATCAAAGACTATATTGGTCAGTGTAGTTGGAACATGCGCGTGACAAGACAATCAACGAGAACCGTTAATAAGCAGTGAAATCCCTAACCAGCCATGATGTAAATAGGAATGGATTTATTTACTGTGTTTAACAAGCAATATTTAATTACTGTCGATTACTATTCAGATTTCTGGGAACTCGACGAACTGAATAAAGCAACTGCGAGATCGGTGATCAGATGCTGTAAGAAAAATTTCAGCCGACATGGCAAACCAGATACAGTGATTTTGCAATCGCTGAATTTCAAAAATTTGCCAGAAGTTGGTAATTTCTGTATCGAACATCATCTCCGCTGCATAGCAAGTCGAATGGTAAAGCCGAATCAGCCGTCAAGATAGCAAAGAATCTGATTAAAAAGGCACGAAGAGACTGCTCAGATGTATAAAAAGCTATACTCTGCTCGCGCCGAAGGTTGAAAGAAATGTCAAACCGAAAATTGAGCAGAGACGTGCAAGATCTAAGTAATATTACGATCGTGGCACAAAACAACTTTCGAAGCTTCACAAAGGCCAAGGAATGCTCGTGAAACCTATTGAAAACAAAAGGAGATGGAGATTTGGTACATGCACTGAGCAATTGTCTCCAAGGTCATATTGCGTGAATATCGATAGAAGAGACTACAGGTGGGAAAATGGTTTTTAAGACCACCATACGATGACAAGGAAATAAAACAAAAACCATCTTCGCATGTAGAGCCACAACTAATGTCAAACGGAGCGAACAATTCTGAAACTCTTCGTTCAGATGAAGCGGAATCGAGCGAGAGACCGGTAACTCCGAATTTCAGACAACGCAGAACACTCTTGATAGATACGGGCCGTGAACATTTATGTATTAATACTTTTTATGAAAAGGGGGATGTTACGATATGACGTAATATACCCTATAGCGCCCGCCACCCATGTTTCATGTCCATGGTTATCATTGTAAAACGTGATAGTCTTATTGTAACTGTTCTACTGTGCGGTGCTTTCTATGTTTACTGTTAGTCTAAGTTGGTGATGTCGAGTCATGTGTTGTGAACCCGTAAAGCTAGATAGAAACCGAAACGCCAGGGTGCATTGCATTGCTTGTCATATGCGCAGAGATGGCCAATACCGAATAGTTCACTATTTCGAATACATTCGAAATTATTTTTTTCGAACATGAAATTTCGAATACCTCGAACATAAAATCCACTAATCGAAGCTTATCTAAATGTATGTAGGAATTTGCATACAATAAGCAATGGAAAACTGCTATATACAAGTTACAACCTAGCTATATTTTCAGGCATTTCATATTTGCAGATTATTGTAGTATATATTTTATATACCATGAGTCATGTTAACAGGATTTAATTAATACGGGCAATAGGGGTATCGATGATGGATTTGAATATTTGCGCAACACAAAATCATCCTAGTAAAACGCCCATACTTTTAAATACCAACCATTATCCAAATTATTTGTCAAAAAGCGGGATAAAGTATGAGTTATTTTTCATACTTGTGACAATTTTTTCGTGAGTACAAAAATACGAATCAAAAATTGATTATATTCGGGAACTTTACCACACATTTTAAGTCCGCAGATCGCCGTTGTATGTTTGATTAATAATACTTTTATTATTTTATAAATACGAAAATAGAAATCAAAAACAATTTTTAATCGGGTAGTTTACCACACATTCTAAGTCCACAGATCGCGTTGTATTTTGTAAATACGAAAATTCTTATTCTCGTACTCACGAAAAATTGTCACAGGTCGGAAAAAGAATTTATACTTTATCCCGCTCTTGGGAACTAATTTGGATAATGGTTGCCATTGGTTTGTATTTAAAAGTATGGACTTTTCACTAGGATGATTTTGTGCTGCGCAAAATATTCGAATCCATGACCGATACCACTATTTAAAATGCCTTATCGTGTTAGTTTAATCCTATTATCATAACTCAAATGTTGGTAAATCGGGCAGTTTACCACACATTTTGAGGCCACATATCGCTGTTGCATTTTACAATTATATATAATAGTTTTATTATTTTGTAAATACGAATCCGAAATTAATTATAATTGGGCAGTTTACCACGTATTTCATGTCCACAAATACCCGTGGTATTTGGTATTAATACTTTCATCATTTTATCAATATAAAAATAGGAATCAATATTTAATATTATCGGTCAGTTTAGTACACATTTTATGTCCACAGATTGTCGATAAAACCATGAGTTACGTTGAACAGAATTAAATTAATACGGCATGACATGTTAAATGCAGGTACCAGTCATGGATTGGATTATTTTGCGCAACAAAAAATCATCCTGGTAAAGGATCGATACTTTTAACTATCGTTATCAGAATTATTTGCTAGAAATTTTTTTCTAATAAATCGACTTGTTTTTCAACTTGTGCCGATTCATTGGATATCGTAACAATGACAGCAAAAAATACCGTATTTCCCGGCTAATAAGTTCACATGGCAAATAGGACGATGTCTATTTTTAGCACTCAAAAAAGGGGTTTTTCCATATAGGCCTCCAATAAGACGGGTAGGAAAATTGTGTCCCTGTTGTTCATTTTTGCTGATATGCGCTAATAATTTTATATGTTTAGAACCAGATCATGTTAATTTGGTAGAATCATACTCACAGAATTAACTATTTTTACCAATTGAGCGGTAAATTTAAGTTGTAAAGTGGCAATCATTTGGGACAACCTATTAACCCGAATGTTGAAATAATTTTGGAATGTGATAAATACTACACTGTACGTCCACCGGTTATTTCACATGTCGTGTTCTGCTGAATCGGCAAAATGAAAGGATCACAAATCACTTTCTCTGTGGCCGTGTTTCTCTTTAAAGTAACGATGGCCTGCGATTTAATATCATGATTTGCAGACCCTAAGACTCAAATATAAGGTTACACAAATCATGCTTGAGAAGACTCATGCGAATAATAAGCAGGCCACATAGAAATAAAATAAACATACTTTCTCAATTAGATGACCCCCCCCCCCCAAAAAAAAATCAGGCTGAAAAATTGGGCCTAGAAAAGCGACTTATTAGCCGGGAAATAGGGTAATTGTCAATTTTTCGACGTAATGGAAATGAATTTGTAAACTAAGAGCCTCGTAGACGAATGTCGGCAATGTCCACCCACGCAAACGTGCAAATGTGTCGCAACACTATTTCATCGTCATTACAATACGTTAGACAGCGTAAAAAGTCGTTTGAAGATTCCCGTAAAACGAAACACCACGTTTACGGCGAAAAGTGGCTACTATTCGGAATTATTCGAAAATCAGCCGAAAAGGTATTCGAATACTTTGATATTCGAATACATTCGAATATTCGATTCGTTTTGGACAATCCTGCATATGCGTAATGATAAAGTTTCTAATTACGTTTACAAGTTTCTTAATTAACACATCACAAACACATAAGAGAATATTAAATATTCAATCCCACGAAAAAGGAGGATTTCGATATTTCAGAACATCCTCAGAGGACGTAAAATTTGTAACGCAAAAGGAGGACAATTCCTCCAAACAGAGGACGTATGGTCACCCTATCTTACTTCAATTTTCTTCCGAAAAATAACATGAGGGCTTATTTTAGGGGGATGTCTTATATTTTCATTTACCGAAAACAAACTTACAATATAGAGAAGTGCGAGATTTTGAAATATATAAAATATGAATACCGGTATCCATTTACTTATAAAGAACACGTTTTATATCCAACACGACTGCAAAAAAAATTAAAACGCATAGGAGAGATTTCTTGCTATCGACTTGGTAAAAAAATGTCTTGTTATTGACTAGGTCTTATTTTATGGAGAGGGCTTATATTAAAACCACTTCAAAAACCCAGCCTAGGTCCCATTTTCGGGGTAGGTCTTATTCAGAGAAACACGGTAGTATCGCAACTTTGTGACAGCAATTCTCAAAGTGTGCTCCCCACTGGGGAGGGGAAAGACACATAGAAACACACATGTAAGCTACTTTTAAAAGAACTTTAGTAGTCAGGTACATGTGGTCACTCAATTTTATAAATTCCAAATATTAGCCATAAGATGTCAGCCAGTTTCAAATTGCGCAATTTTGAAAATTTACAATATACCAATGAACTGTCAAAAAGGTTTTTTTTACAACTCTGGAATATACGACAAATTACTGTCGGTCCGTAATTACTGTGTCAATGGATATCAAAAATTCAAATGAAATATTTAAATACAATTTACTTGATCATTCTTTGGTTTCGTTTGCTTATTCGAATCTTCGGTCTTTATCTTTTGATGCAATGAAAAACTGTCGAAACAAGCAGCGTTCTGTAAAACAAACATGTAGTGTAAGCTAGTTGCATCCAACCGGATTTTCAGGCCAATAAAACGATTTTGAGAGCCTACATTACGAACTGATTTTTGGGGTCCCCTTATTGGGTAGCTAAACCTATTTACCTTACTAGGTGGTCTATGTTTTAGCATAAGCTTCAAGCATAATCATTTCCTAATTAATGTATTTATGTATTCGACGACATACAGCCTTTCAATCATAGGTAATGTTTTTTGTTATTTCAAGTTATTTCGTATATATATATACGCATAAAATCGCAATATAAAAATTGGTTTGGCTAGTTATATAAAGCTAGTTTGGCAGATAAATATATAAAAAACGGACCAGAATTTCATTCCAGTTTCTCATCGCTGGGGTGTAATCGAGTATGGCTCAGAGTTAACGAGACAAATACCGCGAACACAATACCTCGAGCAAAGTGTATTTCAACATCTGTATTCTAAAGATTCTGAATCAGAATGAAAAGCTAAATAAATTGGAAATATCAGGTCTAAATTTATCCGATACAAATACCAATACAGAAAAATTGGCCGATATTGTCAATAACGATACCCGGTAACGATACATTGGTACGTTTTAGTCAGAATCCTGTTTCAACACTCATGAATGGGGAAGAAAATGGCTTAGAATTAAGGAGGCAACAGATACCATGAACATTATAACTCCCAGCAAAAAAATTAATTTCAACATCCATATTTTAAATTCTTTTTTAAATGCTCTTGGATCAGATTAAAAACCCAAATGTATCAGAAATATTGGTTCTACATTCAGACCCTACGGATATAAATGTCTATATTGCTTATATCCGATACATCTCTAGAATTTAACGCTTATGAATATTAATGGGACGATTACTATGACTGCTAACAAGATGGGAAGGGGGATATATACACACTATGTGGGATTTACGGTTATATTGATACACTTGGAAAAATGAATTTATATGATTTATAAAGTAACGTTATTATAAATTTTATTTTACTCTAGTGACGATACGGGAAGTACGACCATGGGAGATTTACGGTTATGTATTATAAACACACTTGGTTGGATCGACTCATGTACGTAATATCGTCATTGGGAATGTTTCTAGTTTGGAACACTTATGAACATAAAAGGCATAAACTGATCATTACCAGGAATTATAGACTATGATAGATTCACGGATACATTGATACGCCTTGTCGGTTTCACTCATCTAGTATTGTACTCCCGCGTGATCTACCACTTGGGTTAAAAACGGATTTGATTGAACCAAAATGCTATGCAGATTTAATACGGACAATAATATCAATGAGGAAGGAAATACAGATATAAAACGGGAAATATTGCCACGTCAGTATCTGTATTCTAGAGGAGTTCTCAAACTTTTGGTGTTGCGGAGCCCTTGAAAAGGTTGACTATTATTCACGGAGCACAAAATACAAGTCATAAATAAATACTAATATACTAAAGCTGTAAATCTGACACTTGACAAACATATAAATAAATTAGGGGTCGAATCATATCCCTTTTGACATTTTTAAAAGACTTGAAAAGCAGCTAATAACGTGCGTCATTGCATTTTGTAAATCCGCAACTCGAATTTTTTAATTGAAAAGCGGCATTCTAAAATATTAAAACTAAAACTTAAAATGGAAGATCACACGTTTGGTTTTTAGCAGACTCACCTCAGATTGAAAACGCTTTTATAGACATAGTAAATCACAAAATTTTGTGTTATGTTAGGTTTTCTTCGTAGTAACTGCAAAATCGAAACAGTCAATGCGCGCGATATACCTTTTTTCCCATTATAAAACTACCGACGGAGCCGCACGCAATCAATTGTGCGCGCGATCCGCGATGTACCTTTTTTCATTCTGAAACTACCGACGGAGCCGAATGCAATAAAATAGATTTCAATTGTTAGCATTTTGCCCAGACTTGGGAATTTTTAAACGGCGATATCTTGCTTAAAAGTAATCTTAAGTGCGAAAGAACAAATCAAGTTTGAGAAGTCCCAAGATCGCAAAAACGACTCCAATTTATTTATAGTTGGCAGTTTATCACATATTTTATGTTGTTTTAGAAAAGAGTTCTTTCATTTTAGTAATTCTAATAGTAATCTCGAATCAAACGTGAGTAACGATGAGCACAATCACATTATAACGACGAGACACGTTAAATGCTCGCATCGGTCATGGATTGAATGTTTTACGCAACAGAAATCTCGTTATCCCTTTTTTTAATCGCGAAGAATGTTGCGCGGAAATTTCCCATTCCAATTTTGAACCACCTCCCTCTTAAAAATCCTTGCCGCGCTCCTGCTTATAAATAATGTCATTTTTTAATTTTGCCTCTTTGCCATATTTCTAAGCTATATTGTTGTCAGATTTTATCAAAGCTGTTATTGCTTCTTTGAACAGGTAAAGAAATAGTCAGTCATTTGAAAAGTAATCGAATAACTCGCGGAGCCCCTGGGTTTCTCTCGCGGAGCCCTGGGGCTCCGTAAGGAGCACTTTAAAAACCTATGACTAGAATCTAAGAGTAGGGGCCACCAGGGTTTGCCGACCCCTGATAAAGATTATAAAGGACCCTATATACAGACCGTAGGTGGTTTATGGCTATATAGATAAACTATACGTTGTATCTAATGAATATAGTATCGCTTTTAGTTCGGAACACGAATGACATGGTTAAATATTACCGCAAGATGTGCGACTACGGGAGATTTACTGTTATACCAATACGAATATACTTAGTTATTGAAAATCTAGTCAGATTCAGGAACACTTATGAAAATGAACGGTATGGTCAACTGATTATTATGGAGGAATTTGCGCTAACATTTATACGCTTTGTCGGATTCACTTACCGGTATATAATATGGTACTTTGATTGATCCACAATTTGTGGCTCATTAAATTTAACCGAATTGCTCATAACGGGGCATGGTCATTGGACATACATTAAAGGAAATTTCACTATTTCTGGTAATCACAACGTCTTCCCGCGATTACCTATTTCAATAAAGCATCCCTTCATAACTTGCGGCTTCGATACTTCAAAACAAAAAAGTCAAACAGAAAAAGTGATTTATGACACCAAAAACTACATATATTACTTAATTAGAAGGATGTGTTAGTGTATTATATTGTACCTTATTATGTAATCTGCAAATGAAACCTTTACTTTAATTTCTTCTCGCTATTTTCACCTAAAAATATAATACAATTTAAAAAAAGAATTGCTTCCCTAGTAAATTTAGTGATTCAATTGACAAATACTTAGGAATGTTTTATGGAATATATGACAAATCATTTGCAGTCACTAATGTGTAGAATTGTCACATTTGTTTACGGAAATCAATGAATATCTAAAAGTCAACTAAAAGAATTAAAACATTGTTTACCTGTATTGTGGACCTCCTCAATTTTGTCTATTTCCTTTTAACACCATATTTCATATTTCTGCATATAAAAAGCAAAGATATTGATATTAAGCTTTCGCATAACACTATGATTCCTGCCTGATAGTACCGAACTAAATCTATGTACAATAGATAAAATGTCACAAAAGTTGAAAAAAAAAAATTGGCTTTTGGCCTTGGCTGTATACTTGAGGTTCGTCTTATCCTTAAGAAAGATATGTATTAGATTTATATTAAGCTTGCCATGTATAGATAGCGTAGAGAAATTCTTCCAGTATTACGTTTAAATTGTTTTCGTTGCGTTGTATGTGGGCCCGCGGGTCAAATCTGGCCCACATGATACTGCCACAAGCAAACTGAAACTAAATTTTGATGTTTTAGATAAAAATAACTTTTCAAGGAATTTGTTGAGATTGCGGTTAAATTTAATTTTGGTACGAGGCTTATTGTACCAAACTAAAAGAATTGCGTTTGAGACTGGTATGTTACGTGTGCAACGACGCGTTCAGCTAGGCCTGAGCTACTCAACGATTTTTACCGAAGATCCGCGTACAAAACTTTAAAAATATCTGGGTCCGTCTTGTCAAAAAACATATTTCTACATCTTTAAAACGCCACCTTTTTTGGCCGACTAATGGTTATTTGCTAATCAATATTGTTTATTATGGTGTTATAGTTCTTTTCATATTATATTTAAATCTATAAAAGTGATTTTATAAAAAAGTGGGGCTAATGATCCGAAATAAAGAATTAGTCGTGGTCCAAATTTGAACACCCGAAAGATCCGGATTCGGGGACTTTCCGTATTAGCGAAGTGAATATCTTCATGCTCATAGGTCCCTTTACACAACTTGATATAAAATAGGCGAACAACATTTGTTACACACGCTTCTGGAGCGCCTGCATGGATAACGGGCGATGAATGACCGATAAATATCGAAAATCTCAATGACGAAACAGCAGAGCCAACAGCGTTGAGTAAATGAAAACAAGACAAACTTTGGGGAATTTTTCAGAGCGTTCTACAGTATATGATCTTATCGATTCTGTTTGTAATAATCGGACCTAGAATTGAATAAGCCGCGAGATCGATCAATTTTGTATTCTCCGCTACTCATGAATGGAACTTTGGTAGAGTTGAATTTGTATTTGATTCAAAATAATAAGATGAATTTGCGATTTCAACCCGTGAGACTTATAAACAAAACATATAAATCACAAAACAATAACTTATTTTTGTGATCTGATTTATTTTTATGTATTAGGTTACAAATTCCAATTTTTTTACTATCGAAAGAGGAAAATAATATAACATCAGTAAAAGCATGAAGTAAATTTCACTCACCTGATTATTTCTCCGCAAGCAACAAGAAAATCCATTGATCATTCTACGACAAAATTTATCTGCACACTGTTGTGACTGAAGCGATGTCACTTGTGGCTTCCGCGCGAAATATTTGACGAAAACACCAAGTAATCATTTGTAATCAAGTAATTACTCCGATTACTCCAGGTTAACTCTGAATCGCCACGAGTCGATCACGCTTCTGACGCATGATCACAAAACTTAATTTACCGAATGTGAACGGTGGTCGGTATTTGCTGCACACTAATTGTAACCGTTATAATTTCTAGCTTCCAGTAAATTAATTGCCAAACCAAAAAGTTCGATGCATAATACCACAGCCTTAATTTCGGTTCTATGCGAAGTATCTAAAATGGACTTGTCAAAACCACTGCAGGCCGATGACAACTGGTAATGTTTAGATTTAGAGTCAATCTCTTACATAAAGTCGCACAATACACCCGTTCTGACTGCATTGAAAAACTTTGCTAATGTTAGCCCAGTAGAGTAGCAATGCATTAGCTAAGTGGCTAGAATAAAGCCTTAAAATACTTTCGATCTCTTGGTAAAAAGCGATCATAAGTATGCTAAGTATGACTACTTACAAGTATTCGATTCTTATCCGATTCCTAAATTTTCGATTCCAATTCTCGATTCTGAATCTCGATTTTTCGACATACCTAGCGAGAAAACATACCCACTTTTTAACAATACCATATGAAATCGAACAAAAGATCGATGTTTAAATATAGGATATAGGATATCTTTTATACCAATATCAGAAAAATGAATTCTAACAAACAACAACATAATAACAAAACGATCTGCATTTTGAGTCGAAAAAATCACTATCGTAGCAAACAAAAATTTATTGCAATCTAAAGTTCAATCCGTTCACATGCCTTCCTGAGTCTCGATCGCATTTGGAGTCAGTAAGCTCCGCTGACCTAAATGCTCTTTCTGACGCAGCTGGGACACAGTGGTACTTTTGGACGACAACTGCGATGTTTGGATAAGATTTTTTTTAATTTTGTTACCACCATTGTAACATTTCTTCTTGGGTCGCTGATATGCCAAAATTTCTGGCATTCAAATATTTTGATATCTTAGCTGAATCCTCCACCTTCCTGGTCAATTCACCCCTTGCTTTAAACTTTTCAATACCATCATTGATGAGATTTCCAATATATGCTTTATTCCTTATATTGAAGAGCTATTTTGCCATTCCGGTCTGTGGTATTGTGGTATAAACAGTTTATACTTGCAACAGGCTTCTAATTTTTCCTATTGCATCTTGCTCCAAATAAATAGGAATTATGAACACAATAGGCAAGAGAAAAAATATACGAATGAAATATGGCACGTGTTGACCCGCGCAAATGGGCGAGTCGGAGGAGAGTGTAGCAATATAGCTAGTTTGCGGCGTCGTAGCAACTCCAGGTGGCGGTTGTTGATACATATATGTGTCACAAAACGTTATACTTTATTTCCAACCCCAGTTTTACCTCTTAGAATCGATTCCAAGTCATCGGAATCGATTCCGGTCGAATCCACGAAGAATCGATTCTAGAATCGATCTCGGAGTCGAATCCGCCATCCCTGAGACCAGTGGTTCTCAAACGGTGGGTCGCGCCCTACAAGGGGGCGTAGACAATTTTTTAAGGGGGCGTTAAGCTTATAAATAATAATAAAAATTGTTAGACTTGATCTTGCCAGCCTTATTTTGAATATTTACGTTCCATCCACGTATTTTAACGTGTTTTTGGATAAAACACACTTTCGCTTTACTATCTGTTATTTGTAGCTTATTGTTATCTAGTTCTTTTTAGGTGGAGCACGAGACAAGACAAATTTTATAAAGTTTGAGAACCACTGCTATTAGGCCTTGCACAAGGGTTCCTTAACGGGGAATCCCCTGTTCGTCTGTGATCTATGGATTTCGCATCTGATAATTATCTACGGCATGGGTGGCAAACTCGTGGATTTTCAAGGGCCGCATTGCATTTGGGGAATTGTGCGAAGGGCCGCAAATTTTTTTTGATATCTTTTAATACTGTATACTTGAAGCATATTTTTAGATAGGTGTAGTTTGTGAAATATATTGTGATTTTCCTAAATTTCAAATGCCATTTACATATTAATTTTTGCATTTTACAAATATTTTCATCTACAACTATTCAAAACATTTTTGAGCAAAGTTTTGATACGGAAAGAATAATACATACACTAAAATGACTTAATCTAAATATACAGACCTAAAATTTACAAAAATACTGCAGAATAAACTTAATTTTTCTATACATGTCCTGACGTTTGGCATCTATTTCGTGCCACCAGCTTACTGATATCAGGCTGAAATGATTTTACAGTACCAACTATAATTATCGAGATCAGATAATCATCGGTTAATCTGGTTCGTTGAGAAAGATTGATTAATTTCAATAATGCAAAAAAATTACGTTTCTCATTTCATGTACAGATCAGCAAACAAACAAATTACTGATTTTTCGAAACGGACATTTCGCGACATGAGTTATGATTGATATCGATTTTTAGTAACTAGGTAGTTGTATAATTATAATAACATACAAACACCTAAAAAAATTCTGTTCGAAGTTGATTTTTAAATTTGTCATATTGACTGCTGAGCTTATTCTGATAATGTCTACTTATATTGTATTCTTTCATTGTACTGATGGGAATGTGGCAGATTAAACAATGTACATTTGAATTTTTAAAAATGCAGAAATATTGCATTTTTCAATTTCTTCAAAAATGAAACCTTCTTCATGTACTTTGCGTTCCATTTAATCCCTGAAGTGTTTCTTCAAGTAATTTTTTACTAGCTTGAAGTGTATCCACAATTGGATCAAATTGAAAACAAACAAAAAAACTAAATTTTTAAAACTACTTTCAGTAAATTGTCGTTTTCTGGGTAAATTCACTTTTCACATCAAATTCACTTCGTTAATTTAATTATTGTTAAGCGTTCGGGGGCCGCATTGGAAGTTCCATGGGGCCACATGCGACCCGCGAGTTTGACACCCCTGATCTACGGTATTTCTAATAAGATATTTTAGTTATATAAGTCGGCAAAACCATACGGTACTCATCGCCAATAACAGTATTTCTGTAATTAAATTACCTGATCTTTTTAACTAGATATTAGAACTTAGGGTGTCGCTGCTGGGATTCCGCTATAAACACTGATTTAGTTGCTGTTGATTTCAACCTCCTATAGTGGGTTTATCTGATTCAATTTCCTATTAAATTCCAATTTCTTCCTTTATAATAACTCGATAGAAATCTTTATAATTTTCTCGAAACAAAATCAATCAAAAATGGTGCTCTCGAGTATTCGTACCAAGATGGCGCACAACCTGAATATGGTATGTCTATCAGGTAAGGATGTTCAGGTTGTTCAAAAATATAAAATATTTGAATTTTACAGTAAATTATCCTTTCGTGGAAATACACTATTTTTTTGCAAAAAACCCTAGACACTGATGCAAAAATGTGAGATTTGAGAAATACACCCACGGCACGTTTTAAGTACTGCAGATTGCGCTCGGCACGTTTTGAGTATTTGCGCTGACCCTAACCCGGACATCATTGAATTAAGTGCTGAATTCCAATGATGAAAGAAAACGGGATATTCAAATTTTGGTACTCCTGAAGTATGCGCACCAAGATGTCGCACAACCTGAACCCTAATCTGGTACACAACCTGAGTTTATGTTGTACGCCATCTTGGTGCGCATACTTCAAGAGGACCCAAATTTTCTACATTCTGGGCGGTGGCGGTGATGTTTTTTGGCGTTTTTCAGGTATAGTTAGACCTGATCAATGTGAAATAGACCTTCGCACCAAAGATTATGGAGGTTTATAAAAATGTAATAAGTTGAGAGGGCGATGCCAATCGAGTAACTCCGGACCTTCCAATAAATATCAGTTGGGGTAACGCAAAAATAACTACCTTTTCTTTCTCCCATGCTCTTCTATGCCTTTGCGCAAGTGGATCCGCATGCGCGTAACGCAATGATGCTATGGCAAGAATAAAGATAACTACTTTATTCAAGAGTCTTGCTGCAAATTAACACAAATGCACTACTGTAGCGTTACATCTGACCGAGGTTAGATTTTTTCAGACAAGCATTTTTCAACTTGTAATATCCGTAGAATATCAGTAAACGCTCGTGCGAGATATTGTTCGCAGCGAACCCCGTGAATAGTCGTCACATATAAAAATATCGCTGAGACAAAACGAAGTAAGCTTCAAGTTGGAAAAAGAGCATTTAGAAATTCAATTTGCTCGCTATATTTATAGACGATTGGTGTAAATTGACAATGTTAACTGTACATTTGATGCATAGCATAGTGTATACGCGTTATTCGAATTTATGTTGTTTGATATGAGTAAGTGAATGCAATCTCCTTTGTGGGGGATATTCCGTCGGATTTCCAGCTTTGATCTCAACGTGAGGGTCCATATTAATTTGTTAGTAATTGTCGCTTGCATATATATTCATGTTTGATTAGCTAGCTATTGGTTCCGCATGATATCAACCAGGTATAATATATTCATGTCGAGGATAAATAAAACGATGTATTTTGCCGATATTTCAAAATTCGAATTACTGATGCTGTTTTTTTGTATAAATATTTAAAACGTCGAAAAATAAATCGTTTTGCAAACACTGGCTGTGCTTTATTCATTCATGACAGCTATATATTGGGTATTGCTTACAAAAGTCATGACACATTTCAATGAATCTGAACTGTTACCAAAACAGACAAATAGATTGAGATATATCAAATAGAAAAGAGCCATATAAGCAAGTATCGGTGGCATAGCGCGAACGATTGAGGAAATAGCCTAATCCAATATGTTTCCCAGTTTTTCAGTTTAGGGAGATGTTTCCAAAATTAGTGGGTGAAAAATATTTCATTATCAGTGATAATAATATTTGTAACATATATGTGTGACGCACTTGACTGATCATATCTGCACCAGTAATAAAGCCACTTTCTTTATACAAAAATGTAATTCTATGTATTTACATTAATTTCAGTGTCGTGTCACACCTCTATATCAGAAGAAATGGGTGTTCAAAATTTTAGAGGGGTGTTCACCCTCTATAGGGGTCTAGAGAAATCACTGGCCTAGTTATACTTGAATTAAATTCATCTGTGTTAGTATGTGATCCGAAACATTTAATTTGTGATTATTCTAAATATCTTCATCTAGCGCTTATATGTATACACATATTTATTGCTTTCCGTATTAAAGCAGTGATATAGCATTAATCAAATGCTGATATTTCGAATGAAATTGTGGTTGTTACTTTATTGACAGCGAAATATGCTCGAATATAATCTTACGGAGAACGGCAATTTCGAATTTGGGATTTTCGATATCAAATTTAAACAAAACGTCATAACACACGGTTAACAAATTTTAGTCAATGTTTCCATCATTATTTTAATTCATGTTTTTAAAACATGGATCCCTACCAGCCCAGACATCTGTATTAAAACATTGCAAATATATATTCCACTCAATGTTTCTTCTAAAATATTTACGATACATTTGAATTGATGACGCTGAATACAAACATCGCAATTTCGATGACGCGAGATCACAGCATACTGTTTTCCTAAGCATAGATTTTCGTATAAATAAAAATATAAATTGTGTTATCGAGTTGGTTTCTATGAGGCAAACTAATTAACCTTTTTCTCGCTTTTCGCGCCAGCGGACCTCGTGCATATGCAGTAACGCAAGGATGCTGTAACAATCATTTATTACAGGATAAATTACGTTAAATTCACATTTTTAAAATCTACAATTTCCAAATACGTCATTTATTGTTTATCCTGAATAAAGCAGTATTAAATTTCTATACTTGTCACATAACTAATAGGGTTGTGTTTTTCTTTGGACATCAATGGGCATAAAACATTAGAAATGGATTCGCCTCAACACAAACGACAATTTGCTGAAAGTGCTAGTTCTGATCTCACCCAGGCATATTTTTCCTAAAGCAGCGTTTCCTAACGCAGGATGAATTCCACCACAAGATAAAACTTGTTGTTTTCTGTGAGAATAAAGAAAGTATAACTTTGTACTGAGATAATTTACTAATATTATTTAGTAATATTGTAATACATATTTATGCACAAAATATGGCCTACTCAAACTGTATAAAAGTGCAAGGGGCGCGTATTACTTTATCTCAGTGGTTATAAACTTTTTTTTGTTGTGGCCCATTTTCGATGCTTCAAAATTCCGTAGTCCGTTACCTTTGTAAGCGAAGGAAAAACTGCAAGAAAAAAACAAAATCTTTTCGTGAAAATATACTCTTTCACTTACTTTATTAATTATAATGTTACAGCACAGTATCAGAAAAAAACAGCATAATTTCCGTGGCGCAGCAGTGGGCAATGGCTCACTGGTTGAGAATTGGTGCTCGCCACCCCCACCTCTGATTACCCTGCATTGGTTTGTAGGTTCAAATCCCTTGCGGATAATGATGTGTGAGAGAATTGCTGGACTTCTCACTGCAGCAGGGTGGTTCACTTAATCGCTGGTCAGTCACGACTTCCTCCATCATCAAGTCTATGCATCTGAGAACAGATACCTGACTAATTAACCCCATACCCGACATAGATAGACTGTCTCGTTCGGTCTATTTTAATCTCCTCATTCCTACCCTACTACGCATAAACACCTCATTTGTATTTGTTAATCAATCTTTAACAAAACGTTTGCAATACGTGCAACCAGTATATATATATATATTACGCTCATACCAAATAAGTAAAATTTATTAGTAATAATACAGGCAACGTACAAGATATAATTCTTCCCTCAACGAATTCAAACTCCTCTTTGGGTAGGAATCCCCCCATCTAAAACAAAGACAAATAAAAACGTGAAATGAAAAATGTGCGAAACTAAGGAAACGTGCAGAATTTGTCAAAACTGTATGCAGGAAGGGATTTCGATTTTTACGACTGTTTAAATAACGGGAGACTCTTTTTTGGTTTTTATTTTACCGGTATGATTTATGAAATGTTTCATTCGGCAGTCATTAATTGATACACTGAGCAAAACGTTATTGCAAAGATTCATTACTTCTTTTCCAAAAAATTAAAAGGATAAAAAATAGATGAACACTTCTATTTTATTTATACAATTTGAATAAAACATAATTAGGACGGAAGAGTAGGTCTGTCCAATGCTTTTACATTTGTCTTGCGGCATGAAAATGGAAACAACACATTTTGCCAGTCATTCAACAGCATGCATGTCGAGATTACATTCACCACGAGTTTGGTTAAAAAAGCGAGAGGGTTTATTATGTTGTATTCGAGTTTATTTGTGCCTTGTATAATAGCAATAGAAATATCTACGATCACACATGCAAGAGTAATAAAAAATGCTCGTCGTAACACGACTCTGGATTTTCTGTTTTCCGAACCTTTGAAACTTGATGATTTCGGTTTGTACAATACCAAGGGAAACGCGAATAGTAAAAGCAAACAGATTTGTAATAAGAATGAAGCTCCTCCACATATAACCCAAATATAGGCCCTTGAGAGTTTTGTAGATGTTGCAACGCAACCAAACTTATTCAATGAATAAGTCTGGGGAAATATAAACATACACGGGATTATAATAGCAGTAAATGTCAACAGATACGGCACAGCTGCACTGACGAATCGAGTGAACGTGGTGGTACGATGCTGCAGTATAGGTGTACAGTAAAACACTCTTTGACGAAGCCATAGAGCGAAGTAAAGAGAGAAGAACGAGCCTGAACTACAAATGCTTTTCATTATGTTGGCTTCATTGCATATATCCACTTCATAAACTTCTATCATACAGTCGAGTCCAGATAACAAAATTCTGGCAAGTCCAAATACTGAAGTCGATAAAATTGCGGCTTCCATGAGATATCGATAACGAACTTCAATTTTTTTGACGACGCATTTCCTTCCAGAACAGGGACCAATCTTGGCTCCTCTATAGCTCAAAACTGCGACAATGTATGATGAAATCAGTATGAAAAAAGCTGATATCACTTGGAAAGCTGTCTGTCGTTTTGCCTGAAGGTCATTCAACCAATCATCGTTAGTATCCGTAACTGCACTGCCTTCAGGCGCCCACGTACAGTTTTCAGTCGCTTCCATGTTTAGACAAATCTAGAAGTTTATACTAAAATATTACCTGAAAGATAAATGTTGGATGTATAAGGGTGAAATATTCTATTCTATTCATACCCATCGGATTCTCAACCAATGGGTTGTTATTAGCTTCGATATATATTCAAATCCAATGTCGGGATCAAGGCGCATGCCTCATGATATGATTTACATATTTATCCCGAAGAAGGGGAAAGCCGAAAAGACGGTCTCATCATATGACGAACCACGGCCTCTCGTCCGGTTCCCAGTCTATGTCTGGTATGGGGTTAGTTGGACAGCTATTTGTTTTCAGATTTATAAACTTGTTGGCGGGGGAAGCCGTAAACGACCAACGGTTACGTGAACCACCCTACTGCGGCGAGGAGTCCAGCATCCTCTCGCACATAATTATCCGCACGGGGTTCGAACCTGCGAACTAATGCGGAATAATCAGATGTGCGTTGGCGAGCGCATTTCTTAATCTTGGCACGATGCGTCATACAGCGCTTTCTTGGAAATTCGTGACAATCAGCGAGAGAACTCGATCGGGTGATTCGAAAGGGCTTTCTGAAACGAGGAAACCTGTTGTTAGTTAGTTCTATGTATAAGAGAACCCGTTCTTAACATTTTCAATCTTATCGCTGAACGAAGCCCTTCATTATTTCCAGTGAAAAGTTTCTCGTGAAGCGTACTTGTACAACGGCTATTGTAATTTTAATACCAACACAAAAAGTACTAATTAAGAAGTTTTGTCGATTTTAGCAAAATCACCAGGCGGAAAACGATTTATAAAATAAGGCTATGACTATGGTGGTAACCTCAATAACAAACGCCGTGCCACGGAATTTTTGAGAAACGAAAAAGGGTCAAGAAAAAAAGGCTGTGTTTAAGTAATACGCCCGCTTTCTTATACAGTTTGAATAGTTCATAATTCTGCATAAATACATTTTACAATAATACTAAAATGCATGACTAATCTATACACTGATTACAAAGTCATATTTTGATCTATCCTTGCAGAAAACAACAAATTCTATCGTGTGGTGGAATTCAACTCCCGTTAGGAAACGCTGCATTAGGCAAAATATGCCTAAGTGAGATCAGAGCTAACACTTTTAGCAAATTGTCGTTTGTGTTGAGACGAATCCATTTATAATGTTTTATGCTTGTTATAAGCCAAAGAAAAACGCAATCCTATTAGTATTAGTTATATAACAAGAATAGAAAATTTAATACTGCTTTATTTGGGATAAACAATAAATGACGTATTTTGAAATTGTAGATTTTCAAAATTGGTGTTGCAAAAAAAAATTGTAAATTTAACATAATTTATCGTGTACTAAGTGATTGCTATAGAATCCTTGTATTATATGCATACGAATCCACCGGAACAAAAGAATTGAAAAAGGTTAGGTAGTTAGTTTCGTAGAAACCCACACGATAACACAATTTATATTTTTATTTATACGAAAATCTATTCTTAGGAAAACAGTATTCTGTGATCTCGCGTCATCGAAATTGCAATGTTAGTTTAGTATTCAGCCTCATCAAACGTATCGTAAATATTTGAGAAGAAACATTGAATGGAATAGCTATTTGCAATGTGTTAATACAGATGTCTAGGCTGGTAGTGGTTCATATTCAAAAACTTGAATTAAATATTGATAGAAACAATAATTAAAATTTGCTATTCATGTATTATGTTGTTTGAGTTTGTTATCGAAAATCCGAAATTCAAAGTTGCAGTTCTCCGTAAGATTACTTTCGAGCATATTTCGCTGTCAAAAGAGTAACAACCACAATTTCATTCGAAATATTGACATTTGATAAATGCCATATCACTGCTTTAATTCGGAAAACAATAATGATGTGTATACATATAAGCGCTAGATGAAGATATTCAGATTAATCACAAATTAAATTGTTCGGATCACATACTAACACAGATGAATTTAATTCAAGTATAACTAGGCCAGTGATTTCTCTACACCCCGATAGAGAATGAACACCCCTGTAGAATTTTGAACCCCCCTTCCATTTAATATAGAGGTGTGATAAGAAATAAATGTAAATACATAGAATTGTATTTCAGTATAAGGAAAGTGACTTTTACACTTGTGCAGATGATCAGTCAGTTGCGTCACACATATTTGTTACAATTAATATTATCACTGATATTAAAATATTTTCACCCACAAATTTTGGAAACATCTCCCCAAACTGAATTAATCAAAATTTCAAAATCTGTAACGTCTGTAGTAATTGTAAGTGAACTATAAAACTTTGAAATCGTATAATATTTCAGACGGACAGCTTAATTAGATCTTTGTTTGGAGGAAATAAAACATTTAAAATTAACATAAAAAAATAAAAACACAAAACAAAATGTGAAAGATGAGCAAATGTGTAAAATTTGACAAAACTATGAGCAGAAAAAGATTTAAATTTTTGAAATTATATAAAGTTAAGAGACTCTTTTTTGATTTTCATGTTATCAAAGTAAATTATGAGATCATTCTTTCGGCAATAATTAAATGATACAAATAAGGAAAAAACGTTAATGCAAAGATTCATTACTACTTTTTCAAAAGATTAATACAGACGCAAAGTTGATGAACAATTCTATCTGGAAATCAAATTTTATTAAAACTTTAACTGGGATGGAAGAGTAGGTCTGTCCAATGCTTTTACGTCCATCCTGCGGCATGAAAATGGAAACAACACCTTTTGCCAGTCATTCAACAGCATGCATGTCGAGATTACATTCACCAGGAGTTTGGTTAAAAAAGCGAGAGGGTTTATTATGTTGTATTTGAGTTTATTTGTGCCTTGTATGATAGCAATAGAAATATCCACGATCACACATACAAGAGTAACAAAAAATGCTCGTCGTAACACGACTCTAGATTTTTTGTTTTCCGAACCTTTGAAACTTAATGATTCTGGTTGGTACAATACCAAGGGAAACGCAAATAGAAAAAGCAAACAGATTTGTAATAAGAATGAAGCTCCTCCACATATAACCCAAATATAGGTTCTTGAGAAACTTGTAGATATTGCAACACAACCAAACCGCTTCAAGGAATAGGTCTGGGGAAATATAAACATACACGGGATTATAATAGCAGTGAATGTCAACAGATATGGCACAGTTGCACTGACAAATCGAGTGAACGCGGTGGTACGATGCTGCATTATAGGTGTACAGTAAAACACTCTTTGACGAAGCCATAGAGCGTAGTAAAGAGAGAAGAACGAGCCTGAACTACAAATGCTTTTCATTATGTTGGCTTCATTGCATATATCCACTCCATAAACTTCTATTATACAGTCCAGTCCAGATAACAAAAATCTGGCAAGTCCAAATACTGAAGTCGATAAAATTGCGGCTTCCATAAGATATCGATAACGAACTTCGATTTTTTTGACGACGCATTTCCTTCCGGAACAGGGACCAATCTTAACCCCTCTATAGCTTAAAACTGCGACAATGTATGATGAAATCAGTATGAAAAAAGCTGAAATCACTTGGAAAGCTGTCTGTCGTTTTGCCTGAAGGTCATTCAACCAATAATCTTGAGTATCCGTAACTGCACTGCCTTCTGGCGCCCACGTACAGTTTTCAGTCGCTTCCATGTTTAGACAAATCTAGAAGCCTATTTCACAATAATAACTGAAAGATAAATTTTTGATGTGTAAGAGTGAAAATATTCTATTCTATTCATACCCATCAGTATCTCAACCAATGGGTTGTTATTGGAATCGATATATATTTTGAAACGCAGGCATATGACGAACGACGGTCTCTTCTCTGGTTACCAGTTATTTCGGCGAATACCAGTCAATGTCGGGTATGGGATTAGTTATTCAGTTATTTGTTCTCAAATGCATAAACTTGATGATGAAGAAAACTGTGATAAACCAGCGGTTACGTGAACCACCCTGCGGCGACGTTGAGAAGTCCAGCAATCCTCACATGTAATCGAAATTGCGATGTTTGTATTCATCTTCATCAATTCAAACGTATCGTAAATAATTTAGAAAAAACATTGAATGGAATAGCTATTTGCATTGTGTTAATACAGATGTCTGGGCTGGTAGTAGTCCATGTTTTGGAACTTAGATTAGAATGATAGAAACATTGACTAAAATTTGTTAACCGTGTGTTATGTAATGACTTTTTGTTTGAATTTGATATCGAAAATCCCAAATAAAAAATTGCAGTTCTCCGTAAGATTAATTTCGAGCGTATTTCGCTGTCAATGAAGTAACAACTAAATTTTATTTAAAGTATCAACATTTGATGAATGCTATATTACAGCTTTAATTCGGAAACCAATTACGTGGCAAGCACGACCTGCAGTACTTAAACATGGATGAGGTGTTTTCTCAAATCTTGCCGATAGCTTTCTACAAAATAAGTACTGTGTTTCCATAAAAAGATAATTCACCGTAAAATTATAATATATTTTACTTTTTTGAGAAACAACAAACAAATCGATACTATTTTATTTTCTCCACAAAGTAATTAGATTATTCGTATTATTGATTCCAAATCTCTTCCATTATTTTTTGATTGATTTTGTTTCCGAGAAAATTTATATCAAAAATATTTATATCAAGTTATTATAGAGAAGAAATTTAATTGAATTCAATAGGAGTTTGAACCGGATAAACTTCATTGCAGCGGAAACACAATAAAAAATTTAGGAGACCAGAGGATAGTCTATCACTGTCTGAACTATAAATGTACATGTACATAAATGAAGCAAATTTTTACAAAATGATCTTCGAAGTATAGCAAGTTTAATAATAGTGGCAATCCTTATAGGTATTTGGTTTTATATATACAATATATATATTTATATAATATGAACTCTTTGTTTCGGTAAATCAATAAACATAGCATAAGAAAAAACATTTCAAACACAATAGGAAACTAACTTAAGTTGTGTGACAGGAGTCGAGAGGGACCTCACGAGGCTTTCTTCAGGCAGCGACACCTAAAAATCTCGCTGATTCTGGCTAGTGAGCACAAAAAGTTATTAAAACACCAAAACGCTTCAAAAAATATTTGAAGAAAAAAGCAGCATTTTTGGAAAACAAAATATTACCAAATATGTTTCATGAGTGGTTTGTAAAAACAAAAATTCTGGTTATGAGCATGTTTCTCAAAATCCGCGACCAACGATGCAACTTAATGCACTGTATAAATTCATCAGATATTTAAAAAGGAAAATAAATATAAAATATTATACTGTATTAATTACTCAAACAGGATCAGCCATTATCCTGACCACTGGAATGGTGCAGGCGCGCAACTAGAAATTTGGGTCTCAAAAATTCAGACTCATAAGGAAAAATTCTGCGGCCCGCGGGGAAGTGGCAATTTTGAATAGAGTGCCCGCGAAACGAGTTTTTAGTTTAACTAAGCTAGTACGTGCGAGCAATTCCAATTCCCTTTGCATCGCAAAGCCTATACCAGTACCTAGGTGCCACTGTCACATTAGCGAAACTAGCTAGCAAAATCATGTTGAAAAGTACACAATGTTATAAAAACGTATTCCTCACTAAATTCGTCGGTGTGACCATAAATTTGAATAGCAGTTTTCTTTAGAAATTTATGCGTTTTTATTCACTATTTCTTAAAAGACCCCAATGCCGTAAGATCAATATCAAAAATAAACAATTTTTTGAAACGCTATCTTAAATAAAGCCGCGGCCCGCGGCTTCACCCAGTTACTTGTATCTGGTCCTCTTGTATCAAAGGTTGCATACCCCTCATCTAGATAATTGAGATCTTTTTCACAATATAAAAAATATTCAGTCCGTCGACAGTATCGATCGCTAGTTTAATGAAAAGTGCAAAACTTAGGGCGTATTCGTTGGTCCTAATTAAATATGGCGGAAGTGAAAATGAAAATATTCTAGAGGTTTTAAAGCAGGGGCCCAAAAATTTTGCCCACCTCGACTTGCGGATCATGTAAATAAGTAAAAAGTGACCATTTATGAACAATATTCACAGTGTTACAAAATCAAAAGTGGAAAACGCATCCAACGATTTCATATATTCCAAAGAGTAGAAATTTCTTAAATATCGCTGAATATTAGTGGGTGGTTGTACATGGCCTCGTTCCGGAAGGAAGATGTGAAAAGGCGTTTTGAAATACTAGGGCATTAGGTATTAATTGTGCATGATTCAGAATTTAGATCATAGGGGGGGGGGGGGGGGGGCACAGGGGTATCAGGTTCTAAGACCCGATAAGCGCGCGCTTGCGTCTCACGGTTTACCATATTAGACGTAAACGGGGGTCGCGGAAATTTCTAATACATTGGAAAGGCCATGAGCGTAAAAGTTTGGGAAGCTCTGATTTAAATGATGCGTGGTGCGATACATCTCTTGCATGGTAAAGCTGAAAATCAAACCTACTCTCAAATATGGCACTACGAATACGATATGCCCTCTATGAATGAGGTAATCCCTCACCTAACGAATGACATAGTCGGAAATAACTATCAACATCTACTCCAACATTTCACGTAACAATCATAAGTAATAGTGGGATCCCAATTTTCATGATTCACTAACAGCAGGTTTCTCTGATTTCAGTAAATAAATGTATATATCTATATATATAATATATAACTTCTGAAACGTCAAATATAACTCTAGTCGTCAGCTACCGTGCACGTATCCGTTTTATTGCGGTCATCTAACCTTCAAAACAAAACAAAAAACATGAACAGGTTTTCTAATCATCACATCTTAAAAAGGATAGGATTTACATATTTATCCCGAGGAAGAGAAAAGCCGATAAGACGGCTTAACCATATGGCGAACCACGGCCTCTCGTCCGGTTACTACTTCATGTCGGGTATGGATTAGTTAGCCTTGTATTTTGTTTTTGGAAGCATGGACTTGGTGGTCAAGGAAGCCGTAATCATCCAGCGGTTACGTGAACCACCCTGCGGCAGCGAGGAGTCCAGCAATCCTCTCGCACATAACCATCCCGCATGGGATGCGAACCTGCGAACCCATGCAGGGTAATCAGAGGTGTAAGGGGCGAGCGTATTCCTAACGCTTAGCACGATGCACCACACCGCCGAGCATCGCCAAGAACAGGTTCGGACTAATCCCACCATCAAAAGCTGCGAGAATGCGTAAAAAATATTTTGTGAAACAATCTTATTTCTTTTAGGGAATCTATCTTCCCTGTTGCTTCTCTGACACGCAGAGGGTTTTACATTTTTATTTGGTTTATTGAAACAAAATACTTTCACTATACTTAACAACATCGACCTAATTGCAAACTTGCAAACAACCCTAATAAGAATGTCGAAATAAAACAATACTGCTACGCATAAAATTTTCAGAATTTGGAGAGGTATTCAATATACAGTGTGTCCATAAAGTCCCTTTACAATTTTAATTTTGTTATGAATTCAGTTCGCAATATATCCTAACCAGGTTTTTTGTTTTAATTAGTAATTGCTTGAATATTTTACTTCATTTAATACATCTGTATGGGCCAAAACAATATATGGTATCAATAAATTCCTTTTGAAGTTTTATAAAAATAAACTTTATGAACAACCCAAGGTGAAAGGACGGTAAGTTCATATTGGTCCGGTATGGTTTTCGGACAATTGTGGTTTGTTTTCTGTATGAGCAAATTATTACCCAATAGCAATAGACTGAATGACGATTACAATCGTTTGTAACTCTCTCATACTGGTTGTTAGTTACCGAATCATGAATAATTTATTTATTCTTTTATGTAGTGTCTGCTTACTAAATATTAAAGACATTAAGTTATATATAAATAGGCACTCGGGCAATCAGTGATAGCCAACCTCGATACAAAATAAAGGTACTCCCGTAGTGTGTGTACCAGGTTAGGGTTAAGCCATAATTTTATTCCTATTATCCTTATTTTAGTTCTATTACGAGTTTGGGGAATGTTTGTGTTAGCCAAGTAAATAAACCTTCTACCCATAAGTTTCAGTCCATTCACACAACTTGATGTAAAGTAGGCGAACAAAATTAGTTACTTCTAGAGCGCCAAAATGAACTGTCCAAAGAAAACGCTTAAAATTGACCTATGAAAAATTGACTTGTCTCAAATCAGAAACCAACCAATGCAACTAAAAGCAGAATTCGCCATCTCAAACTGCTGAAAATTCAGTAAGCGAGATACCAACATAATCATAAACTCCAGTATATCGGAGATATTCACAATTTGAATAGTAACTATATATAAACTTATTACATAATTTAATGAGACCATGCGTGAAGTATTTACATATCAAACCAAACCAAACCAACATATTCATAAACACCAGTATATCGGAGATATTCACAATTTGAATAGTAACTATATATAAACTTATTACATAATTTAATAAGACCATGCGTGAAGTATTTACATATCAAACCAAACCAAGAGCTATAACCTGTAATAAGATACAACATTTTTGAATTGATTTACTTTATCCACAAGTAAAATGATGAAGGTGGTAGGTTAAACCCATGTATCGAACTCACTAACATGAGGATCTCTAATTTCAAAGAACATTTCTTACTTGTATCTTTATAATTATATGTCATTATTAATAATGTATGCCAATATGTAAGCTTCAATAAGACGCTTATAAATCT